TGTTTAATTTGGTAAATATATCTGTTAAAATGAGATGGCATTGTTATTTTAATTTTTGCATAATTTTGATGACAATTTATCCATCATACCATGCATCTATCTATCTATCTATCTATCTATCTATCTATCTATCTATCTATCTATCTATCTATCTAATATATATAGATCACATCCCTCATTACATCTGGCCACCTAACTCCCCAGACTGAAACACCCTTGATTATTATGTGTGGAACGTAGTTGAGCAAGAGACCAACAAAACTCCTTGTAACACCAAAGTTGAACTGTAGGCAAAGATTATGGTAACATTCACCAACTTAAACAAAGAGACCATCTAAAAGCATGCAAAAGATTCCAAAGTCATCTGGTGATTTTACTCAATTAATTTTTACTATTTCAAGATATTTTTGCATAATTTTGATAAGTATATCTCTTAAAATGAAATGCCAGTGTTATTTTCATTTTTGCATAATTTAGATAACAATTTATCCATTACATGCTTTAGATAGATATAAATGGGTAGATAGATAGAAAGAAGCATAGATAGATAAATATGAACACACACACACACACACACACACACACACACATATATATATATATATATATATATATATATATAAACAAGGTTTATTAAAAAGAACTGATAAGACCTGACTGCTTAATTTTTTATTATATTTTTCCAATTTTCAAATAGGCTGTTGTGAGTTAGCATCAAAATTATGGCTAAACTCTCCAAAGTTAATGTTGTGCTATTGTTTTCTTTAAGTATTTTTGATTGGCTCATTTTCAAGTATTTTAACATTCATACACTTATTTGAACAGATAGTAACGTCTATGGTTGTGTACCATCACATAAAGTCATTAGGGTCAGTACACTATTTGTATTTTAGCCATAGCAACAGCCATGTCTCTAGTGTCTTGGGCTGGTTTTGAATTCAGGGTTGGCTTTCTCCTAGACTGGTTGCCACCTGAAGGTGAGTGAGCCCAGTCATCCCTACTATTTAACCTATAGGTAGGGGGAGAAGAAAAGGGAACATAACAAAGTCAGCTGGAATTCAAACTCAGCTAGTCGTTTTTTCTCTTTCTGTGTTGCTCTTACATTACTTGCCCATTCATGTTCATATATATTATTATGGATATATATGAGGGAATCTATATATATATATATATATATATATATATATATATATATATATATATATATATATATATATATATATGTATAATTGACAAGTTCCTACTTTCATTTGAGGATATAGAACAAAAAAACAATATAATGGATGTGTATTCTATTTAGTTTCTTCCTTTTATTGTTGTTATGTTTCTTCTATGGTTTTTATCCATCTATTCTTCTTCTTGATCTTCTTCTTCTTCATCTTCTTCTTCTTCTTCTTCTTCATCTTCTTCTTCTTCTTCTTCTTCATCTTCTTCTTCTTCTTCGTCGTCTTCATCTTCTTCTTCTTCTTCTTCTTCTTCTTTTTCATTTTCTTCTTCTTCTTCTTCACATTATTATTATGATTATTCTTTTTATTTTTTATTATTATTATTCCTTGCCTAATTTTGACCCTGCCACCCAGCCACCATTTCTTTTTTGTTTCAGCAAACTGCAGAATTTTTGTTGGCAGACGTCATTTTCTCAACATTCCCCAATCTCCCAACCAAAAATCCTCCTTCTTTCCATAAATTGCAAAAAAATAAGTACTTTTTCTCACTTCTTGACAACATCCAAATTGCATCTTGCATAGCATGACCCCTACCAATGAAAAAAAGATAGGGGCTATAATATCAGAAAAAATAAAAGAATATATTTAAAAACAGAGAAAATATTAAATTAGGCATCATTTGATGGGTATTTTTTTCTTTCCAGCAATTAGACTGTGAGAATTTAGTTAAATACTATTTAGTTACATCAGAGAAGGAAGCTGTGTTTGTATTTATGTGTGCATGTGTGAGTGTGTGTGTGTGTGTGTGTGTGTGTGTGTAAGACAGAGTCAGAAAGAGATATATCTATTAATATGCAGACATATATTTATACATATACATATATAAATATAAATATATATATATATATATATATATATATATATATAGATAGATAGATAGATAGATAGAGAGAGAGAGAGAGAGAGAGAGAGAGAGAGATAGATAGATATATGCAGACAGACACACACACATATATATATAGATATATGCAAACACACACAGAGTGATATACACATACACACACACACACACATATATATATAAATATATGTATAAAGTATATTCATTTCTATTTATATTGTACTGACCATATTTTTGTAACTCAAAAATGATTTATATAGTGTGGCTAGTTTACACTTGTCTATATATATATATATATATATATATATATATATATATATATATATATATATATATATGATAATAATAATATTGTCAAACATCTGGATCAGATGAGCATTTCACCCTCAAACTTTTGAGTTGTTTAACCAGATAGGTCACTTAAACTTTTCTTTTTTTTTTGAATATCCATACATACATATATATATATATATATATATATATATATATATATATATATTTATCGTTATTTGTCTTTATTAATATATGTATATATGTACACGTATGTGTGTATGTATATATATATATCATATTCATGTATGTATATATGATATATAATATAATGTATGCCTTATATTTACTTATATATGTTTGTATATATATATGTATAAAGATATGTGTGTGTGGTCGTGCATATTAACTAAATCTCTCTAAATGCAGTTCCATTGTTTCCAGGGTTTTTGTGATTTGTTTGTAGATAAAGTTAAATAAACAAATGACTGAATTAAACCTTTTTTGTTTTTCTTTATGGAAGTCTCAATTATTTTCACTAATTTTTTACAGACTTTGTGGAATGCATAATAATGCTTGAGTTTTGTAAAGTATTTAAGAAATTAATGAAAAAATAAAATATGTATTAGTGGAAAGTCCTAGAAGGAGGTTGTAAATTGTAAAAAAAAAATGAATTGCATAGGAAAAGAAGGAAAGACAAGAGGGCAAGTTCTGAAGAAAAAGAAAGCAAGAAAAAAAAATGTCTCAAAGCAAGAAAGAAAGAAAAAAGACACCAGAAAACTAAGTGAAAAAAAAAGAAAAAGAAAGCAAATAGAAACTAAAAGTAATAATTGAAGCAACAAACGTTAAAAATTTTAAAAATACATAAATTCCAAGTTTTGTTAACCCAAAAAGAATTTACTTTTTATTCTGACCCTAATTTTTTAGATATTATCAGATTTACGTTTATGTGTGTGTGTGTGTGTTGTGTGTGTGTTGTGTGTGTGTGTGTGTGTGTGTGTCTGTGTGTTCACTCAAAATTTGAATTAGAATCTTTCCATTTCTGGTTAAAAGTCCTCTTTCTTACCACTGAAAAAGAGGAGAAAGAAAACAAATAACCAATCAACTCAACCATGAAAAACAAAACAAACATGGTAAGAAAAAGAAACAAACAAAAAAGGTCAAAAGCAGAAAAAAAAAGAAAGCATTTATTGATTTTTTATGGCTTATCAACCTTTTCAGGTCATTTAAAGACAAAAAATATTTTTAAATTGTAAGAATTGTTTGGAAATAATAAAGATTTACTGATACAAGTCCTACTAATTAATCCATAGCTGGAGGGATAAGAGGTGGGTTCCAAGAATATTTGCATGTAAGTGAATATAACAAACTTGACGGTAATCCACAATTTCCATTTCTGAGCCATTATCCATTACAAGTCACAAACATCCAAGGTTACAGCATTTGGTATTCCCAAGTGGTCACTCATCTAGTTACTGACCAAGCTCAATGTTGCTGAACTTTGGTGATCATGAGTGATTCCAGTGTTTCAATGTGATATTGTTGTAAACCCAGGAAGATTTAAAGTAACAAAAGAAATCAAGGAGAGAAATATAAAAATGAAAGGAAAAGAGGAGTCATAATTGTTATTTAACATAATTCCCCATGTATAATACACATTTTTTTTCTAAAAATATAAC